AATTACTCTACGCAACTTCTTCCCAAAGAGGAAAAGATTTTGTTAGAAAGCATTTGGCGAAAGGTTACTGACAGACAATTGGACGAGATTGTGATCGCTGCGCAAGGGCTTGTACACAAACAAGAAGACGGTTTCAATTGTGGAGTATTTGTATGCTTGTATGCCGAGCGTTTGTGTAAAGATGAGCCCACTGTGCAAGAAAACGCAACTTACGCATTTCTTCAGAGTTATCGTCATTATATCAGAAATCGGCTAACATGTCACAGTATTATGCCTAACATGATCAGCAGTGACAGGTGCGGGTTAGATTTCGACTACACCGTCGGTTGCGAAAAGGTGGATGACCATACAGTGGCAATGTCTCAGAATCTATGCGATAAAGATCTACAGTGTTTGAACGGAGATTGTTGGCTGAATGACGAAGTCATACTGACTTTTATTAGTGTTGTCTCAAAAGGTACACGATTTTCCCCTCTGCATCCATGTCTAATACAGACAGCAGCTACATATAGAGTCCCTTCCTATCCAGTCCTTGATGCAGAGCTTCTCTTTCCCTTGAACATGAAGAGGGGCACACACTGGGGGCTTGCGTGGTTAAGACCACTATACAGAACAATTGTTCTATACGACTCAATGTCTTATCTGTATAAGTACTCTACGCGTCTTTTACCCACGGAGGACAAGAATTTATTGGAAATAACTTGGCGCAAAGTGACAGACAGGCAGTTGGACAAGATTATTGTCGCTGCGCAAGGGCTTGTACACGAACAAGAAGACGGTTTTAATTGTGGAGTATTTGTATGTTCGTATGCCGAGCGTTTATGTAAAGAGGTGCCCACTGTGCAAGAAAGCGCAACTTACGCGTTTCTTCAGAGTTATCGCCAATATATTAAAGATCAAATAACACGATGCAAGTTGCTACCGAACAAGGTTGTGAGTAAACTACACAACTCGAGTGAAAAAACTGATACCTGTTGGGATGAAAAAAAAGCCAGTCGCATTGATATTTCAAACAATTGTGCCGAACATGATGTTATCAAATTATTGCCAAGTCGCCTTGAATCAGAGAACAGATCTGAAAATTACATACAAAAGGAATCAGATGCACGTTATGAAGGGAGAAATATGACACCTTATTGCATTTTTTCACAACCAAAGATTGCAAGAAAGGTTGCAAGGATTGAAAACTTGGAAGGATGTCGTTCATCGTCAAAGCATAGTTTACTTGAAGAAACTCTTTCACCGTGTTTGCTCGTTCGTTATCTAAGAAAAAAGTACTCAGAGTACAATCTAATAACATTTGCGTCATTCGATTGTGAGACATGTCGGGATCAGGCAACTGGCGATGCTCTTCATGGATCATATGCCTCTCTTATTTTTTTGTATTTGAACAAAACCAAGCATTTTGGGGTTGTCATTGTGACGAAAGGCATAAAAAGAAGCCACGCCACTGTTTTTGACTGCACTACAAGGAGTCTTGCACGAGAGTTTCGTACACAAATAAAGGATGCAGCACGTGAGTACGGATTTGGAGAAATTACTGTAAAAAAAAGTTTCCTCACTACGGATAGAAAGCAGATTCGAATAGAAGTTGAAGCTGTGGCCATCTGTATGCTTGTAGAAAAAACTGTACGGCATTGTTTTTCGGCAGAAGTGCAAATTCCAACTGATGAGCAAGTTGAAGTGGTATTGGAGGATATACAGAGCACATTGAACATTACTCTCTCTTCTCCAGCACCACATAAAAAAAAGATCAGTTCGGCCTTTTCTTCCAGCGCTTACCCAGAATTTTTCACTATCGGTGAGATGGACAAGTCATGCCCCAATTGTGAAGCGATGTTGTTCAATGGAGAACGGTCTATATGTTGTAGCGACGGTCAAGTAGTCATTCCTGAAAGTATGTTTAATCCTCGACGAGACCCTTTGTTGGATTGGTTTTGGGAAGCTGCATTGAAAAATGAACAACTATTCTATATGATCCGTCCTATCAATAATCTTGTAGCTTGCGCTGGAGTCTGTATAAATCTAAAGTCTTTTGAAGGAAGTTGCGCGCAGAGGCCGTTGGTTTTGCAGGGACGATTTGATATTGGTCTATGTCATCTTAATCCGAATTCCGAAAAGGCTTGCTTTGCTCAGCTATTTATCGCAGATGATTTCAAGGTGCAACATTCCTTGCAGGAAACTATGAAATTGTGGGATACTAAGGTAGAATATGGGCTGATAAGGAAGCTTATTGATATTCTGCGTAAACATAATCCAATCGTTCAATGTTACATGACTATGTATGAGATATACCTTGATGAGAAAAAGAAATCTGGCTGTAAAAACGCAGATGACATTCCAAAAGTAGTGATGAATCTAAAGGAAAAAAGAGACGTTCCGCAAGTGGTTGCCTCAAATATACATCCTGGTCGACTCAATGTGCCGGTATTTGAAAATCAAGTCGCAGCTATATACGTGAGCAAAGACGGTGGCATGTTGTCACATGAAGAGCTGGACGAAGGACTCAGAATACAGTCAAGAGGTGGCAAAACTATAGCTGCGCACCACAGCTATAACATTGATGCGCTTACATATCCGCTGTTGTTTCCTCGTGGAGAGCAAACGTTTGTAAAAGACATGCTGCCTAAGCGAAAAGCGCTTTCTCGTAAAAGAAAGGAAGACATCGTTGCTACTGACATTTTAGAGATGACTGATCCCGATAGTTTCAAAGACTTTAACGGTATCCAACAAGAGCTTGAGCACTCTAAGAAGACGCGTTTTATCTCCCGCAGAGAGTTCGCATTATATATTATGGCACGTCGTGGTGATGTGCAAAAACATCGTATTATTGGAACTGGTAAATTATACGCGCAGTATGTACTGCACATCTTTGCTCGCATTGAGGCTGATAGACTTTGTAGTATCGGCCTTCATCGAACCGAGCTAAGGAGTTCCACGGCCAGCTCCCTATTCAAATACTTGGACGAAAAACTAAACGAAAAAGGTGTCAAGTTGGGGAAGTTGGTGAATATGCCTCAAAGTTACGTTGGAAGCCGAAGATGGTATCAAAAATTGTACAGTGACGCCATGGCAGTTGCACAGAGGCTAGGTAAACCGGATTTGTTCATAACGTTCACTGGAAGCCAAGACTGGCCTGAGATCAAAAACAACCTTGCTGGGAAGTTTGATTCATGGATAACGGATCCATTCCTGTGCTGCCGTGTATTCTTTTTGCGACTGACCGAGTTACTCGACGATATCAAAAGAAAAGAGATATTTGGCAAAGTGATTGCTCTCCATGGAAGTATTGAGTTCCAAAAAAGAGGCATGCCGCATGCTCACTTACTCATCACGTTAGCTAACAAGATCGATACTCCTGAGAAGATAGATTCCATTATTTCTGCTGAGATCCCTGAATATCCAAAAACTGGAGATCCTCATAGAAAGGAAAAATTACATCTTATTGATCTTGTTGGAAAATTTATGATTCATGGACCATGTTCGGAACGTCCCAATCTTCGCTGCCGGGAAGCAGATGTGAGCAAGTGTTCAAAAGGATTTCCCAAACCTTACAGGAGTTTTACCGAAATCTGTAATGGCGGCTACCCTTTGTACCGTAGAAGAAATGATGGAAGAGTTATACCTGTAGGGAAACTTGGAAAAACATTTGCCTCGAATAAGGATGTAGTGCCTACTAATCATCGCCTTCTTATGAAACACGAGTGTCACATAAACGTAGAAGTCTGTGGTGCTATACAAGCTTTCAAATACATCTTCAAGTATATATTTAAAGGACCAGACTCTGTCGTGATCGAACTGCTGCAGGACGATAAGCTTATGGAAAAGAGTGTATATTCGAACGAACAAAACGAAAAACTTGTTACTATTGACATGAGAGAAGTGTATAGGCTGGCTCGGTACGTTTCCCACATCGAAGCAGCCTACAGGATACTAGGTTATCCGATGCAGTATGCGTCACACACTGTTATTTCGTTAATGCCGCATTTGCCTGATGAACAGCCTGTTTTCTTTAGAGGTACACCTCCGCTGGGAAGATTTAAAAGTAAATTGTTAGCATACTTCGAGTTGGCCTCTCGTGACGACAACGTTAAGGATATGACGTGGATTGATGTAGCAGAGAATTACCGCTTCACCGGAAGTAAATACGTCCCCTACAAACACAAATCAGCTCGTATTGCCAAGTTATGCTCGGTAAATCCAAAAATGCGCGAGTTGTATGCTGTTAGGAAGTTACTGCTGTATAGAAAAGGCGTAAAGTCCTTTGAAGACTTAAGAACGTATAATGGCAAAGTGTATGATACGTTTATGGAAGCTGCGCAAGCAGCTGGATACATCGAAAAGAGCTCTGAATGGGAAGAATGTCTGCGTTGTGCTTGCACAACGGAAATGCCATCGACAATTAGACGACTTTTTGCGCATATACTACTTTATTGTAAGCCTTCTAACATTGTAGAACTGTGGCATAAGTTCAAGGCAGAAATGAGAACACGAAATACGAATCATTCTAACAGGAATGAGGATTTAAATTCTTTGAAGCACATTGAAGATGTCATAAATGCCAATGGTATGACCTTAGCTAACTGTGGTCTCGACGTAGTTATGGACAAGCTGCTAGAGGAGTATGATGATGATTGCAACCCGTGCGTATCAAACATAGACGACGATGAAGGCATGAATGCTGAACCTGTTGCTTATAACCTCAATAAAAAGCAAGAAGAGATTGTCATGAGGGTTACGGCTGCGGCTAAGTTGAGCAAAACAAGCAAAGGCCGTGTATTTTTCGTTTACGGAAAGGCCGGTTGTGGCAAAACATATACCTTTAACGCTTTGATTCATGCACTTGAAAGCAGTGGACTTAAGGTCATCGCTGTCGCTTCTACTGGAATAGCTGCTACGCTTTTGAAGGATGGTCGAACTGCTCACAGCACTTTTTCCTTCCTCTTGAGCTCAACTCTGATTCTGTTGCCAATGTAGATGCGTCTTCTGTGCAAGGAAAGATGCTGCGCGACGTTGATGTAATAGTATGGGATGAGATCTCTATGCAAACTCGATATGCAGTCGAATGTGTGGATAGATTATTGCGCGACGTGGCTGCACCAGATAATCGATCTCAACCATTTGGAGGAGTAGTTATGGTTTTTGGAGGTGATTGGTGTCAATTTCTTCCTGTAATTCCCGGAGCCACAAAAGTAGATACAATTCATGCCACGTTGAAACTTAGTGCGCTATGGGACTCCATGCAAGTTCTTGTGCTTGATGAAAATATGAGACTTTATCCTGGTGAAGAAGACCATGCCGCATGGCTACGCGCTGTAGGAGAAGGAAGAAATTTGAAGGGCGACGGGAGTATCGATATTCCTACCGAGATGTGCATGGAAAGCGAAGAGGACGTGATTAAGTGGATGTATAGCGAAGAAGTTCTTCGATCCCCCCAACTTATGGGTAAAATGGCATTGTTGACTGTGCGCAACTGCGATGCGCTTGAACTTAATGAGAAGGTATTAAATATGACTTCCGGGGATCTTATAGAGATTTACGCCATAGACACTCCATTAACCGAAGAGGAAGGGACTGTTGGAATGCCATGTGAAGACGAAGAATTTTTGCATGATTTGACACCACCTGGTATGCCGCAATACAAGTTATTGTTGAAACCTGGTGCGATTATCATGCTCTTACGGAACATAGACGTCGGAAGAAGGATGGTAAACGGCACAAGGCTGGAGGTATTAGAAATCATGTGCGACAAACGACTACTGCGATGTAGAAATCTGCTTACTGGAAAATGCGACTATATCACGCGCATGCCTCTTGATTACGCTGACAACAATACGGGAGTGACTTTCAGAAGATTCCAATTCCCTGTGAGACTGTCTTATTGTATGACTATCAACAAAAGTCAGGGACAGACGTTTGAAAAAGTAGGCATAATTTTGCGGACGCCTTCGTTTGCTCATGGAAGTACTTACGTGGCTTTATCACGTGCGCGGTCAAGAACACAAGTGAAGATTACCATCAATTCCCGTCGCCGTGTGCAACAATCATTTTCAATAAGAAATATTGTTTACTCGGATATCATTTGAATGACTGAAGATGGTTGGACTGTTGATTACTTTTCTACGTTTGAGAACCCATGGAGAAACTACATGTTAGCAGTTACTACCACCGACAAGATCCAACCAGAATAATATCTCTGAGGACCAGAAGAGCTATCATGACAATTACGCATTGCATAATTTGCGAACCCCTTGTTTGCTCATGGAAGCATTTATGTGGTTTTATCACGTACACGTTCAAAAACACAAGTAAAAATTATCAATTCCCGTCGCCGTATGCAGCAATCACTTTCAATAAGAAATATTGTTTACTCGGATATCATTTGAATGACTGAAGATGGTTGGACTGTTGATTACTTTTCTACGTTTGAGAACCCATGGAGAAACTACATGTTAGCAGTTACTACCACCGACAAGATCCAACCAGAATAATATCTCTGAGGACCAGAAGAGCTATCATGACAATTACGCATTGCATAATTTGCGAACCCCTTGTTTGCTCATGGAAGCATTTATGTGGTTTTATCACGTACACGTTCAAAAACACAAGTAAAAATTATCAATTCCCGTCGCCGTATGCAGCAATCACTTTCAATAAGAAATATTATTCACTTGGACATCATTTGAATGACTGAAGATGGCTGGATTGTTAATTACTTCTCTACGTTTGAGAACCCATGGAAAAACTACATGTGAGCAGTTACTACCAGCGACAAAGTCCAATCAGAATAATATCTGTCTGAGCGCCCAGAAGAGCTATCAAAACAGTTATGCATTGCTTGTATTAGGTTGTCAAGAAAATAATGTCGTTTTTAGGGTTTTTTCGGGTAACTTTGATATTACTCGAGACTAGAGCATATCCGAAGCCAAAATTTTATGGTTAAAGTTACGCAGCTTCGTAGTATGCGATGACATATGTGGGAGGGGCGCAGTACTACTGGGGGCAAAGTCTGCCACTTTCTTCCAATTTTTTCTTGGTTTCTAAACATGGAAAAATTATGGCAAGTGTACTTATTGATGAGCGCGTGTGTCTTTTACATGCAGGAGCAAATGAGACATTTGCAGGATTTTCTAGGGCGAAAATGAATTTTTGGCATCACGAATTGCTCATATGTTTTGGCTCTGAATTTTGCGTAAACAACAACTTCTGCCAGTTTTCGAAGGTCATCTTGTAGAGCTTCTTCTGCTCTGTCGAATGGTACGCCTCGCATAATTTTTTGGAATGTACTGTGGCTTTGCTATAAACAACGACATTGATTTCTTGACAATCTAATAATATTTTATCTAGGATGTTCCGCATGATATCTGCATTTTCAGGTGTTATAAATAGATAAAACCTCGCAATTGTCTCAACCTGCACCCCATAACGATCCTTTTATGGTATTGCAAAGGCTGTTTTCTGTAATCCTATTCCTCTCATCAAACTAAGGTACGGAGTAAGTTAGCTCAAAATTTTAGTATTGCTAATTCTGGCGTGCCTCACAGGCTGCCCAAGTTGATCCTGTAGGTGAGGCGAGATTGAACACTCTCAAACAAGTACCCTGTAGGGTTTTTATTGGAACAATAACCGTGCCGCCGAAGGCTGATATGGAGAGTTTCTACCTGAACTGATGTCCAACTGCACCCATCTATTTGATTGCGAGGTAAATTAGTTCAGTAGCTTATCACTCTCCTTCTTTTTGTGTGTACCTTACAGGATACCACATTGGATCCTGCAAGTGGGTGCGAAAAAATAAAAATTTGACAGATAAAGATTGTTCCAAAATTCTTTGATCGGTATATTTGCAGTTTGGCAACTCTCCGGGCTGTTGGTATGCGCGAAGACTAGTGAAAAATGTAAACAAGCTGTTAACCAAATTTTGTCTGTCTATGTTGCTTCACTTGAGTTTTAGCTGACAAAAAAAATACAGGAGACTATTGGGACATCAGGTGCACGGTATGTGAAACGAGATGCTATACAACTTACCAGGAAGTTGATCGTATTCTTTATCTATAAACACCCGAGAAGATATTTCATATGTCGCAGAAAGTACAAGAAAATTTCATTTGTAAGTTGAGGTGTTGTTCACTCCGCGGCGGCCACCCATCTAATCAGTTCAGATGCGGTTGCTCTGAGCTTCAAAATAACAAAGATGACGTTTGCTACTTGCTGATTCTATCTGCCAGTATATTAAGAACTTCCTGCTCTTATTCCGTTCTCAAAAATAGATAAAGAGTTGGTGTAGGTCAAGTTTTCTCTTCAATTAATAACAGAATGCTTGGTACAAAGGAAAATTCTGCTGTATAAACTGCTATAACTTGTCCCTTTATTTAGGTAAAAACGAATCCTTGCGTAAAGTTCTTCACGCCAAAACGTACCGGATTTGCGATAGGCGATGTCTGTTGCCGTTTTGGGAATTGTTAGGCAGACTTATGGAACTTTCGCATAGGTTTAAAATGTACAGTTGATTGGTTTTACTACTAACACAATGATTGCATCGTTCAGGATTGCTTTTGGTGCAAGAAAGTTTGGATAAAAAATAACGCGGTTTCCTTGGTGTGATTATTTCAGAAAAGATTCAAAATACATATGCTAATGAACGTATAGAGCCACAAAAAGCGACGACTACCATCTAAACCTTGCGCCATTGACTGTGGCAGCAAGTTTATTTTATTCTTTTCAAGCTTCTTGAGAACTTTCCAGTTTTTTCCTGTCATAAAACAATAATAAAAAGTGCTTTTTGAGTACTCCACAAATTACGTTTGCAGTGTAGTTTCTTTGCTTGAGCACTTTTACAGTCTGAGGAAGACGGTAGATAGAACAATTGATATTCACTATGATTCAAACGCAGTTGCAGAATTAAAAAAGATAGGAGGTCAGTCCCTACCATTTTCTTTCCTTCATTTGCGTTGGCTCAACTTCAGGATTGTTCTCGTCTAGCTGTAAATAGTTTCAGGCTGATTAAAGCTCCGCAGCTCATATATACATTTGATGTAAAATTTTGATGTAATATGCACAACTCAGTCGCTGCTACTTCTCTGCCGTCTCCTTGCTGCTCTACGGCTGACATGGCTAACATGTTACAGTATGCAGACATGTTTGCAACATGCAGAAATGTTTTCGAGTCTTTTTGGCCATTATGCTTGACATGTCGTATCTAACGGGTTAGACATGCGTGTCGTAGACCAGAGGCGGAGAACAGAGTTAGCGTAAGATATGGAGCTCTCATTTTATTTCCATCTCAATTTCTGCGTGGTCCTATGACTACCTTTCACCTAGACCCGTTTTTACTTCTAGACAACTGCGAGCAATCCTTTATAAGGCTTCGGCTAGAGTTCACGCGATTTAGTCGCCGTGATTTTATCGACGCTATTTTATCGCCGCGATTTCACCGTCGCGATTTTATCGCCGCGATTTTCATTCATCACTTTACATTCATCGATGCTGGAAAATTATCTCAACCGAAATGCAAGCTGATCGGCAGCAATAAATTCAGTCCTCTTGTCGCGGTGAAGTCGCGGCGATGAAATTACGTGAAAACTTTGCCTTAGGTTTTATAGGAACGTTTGCAATTGTTTAGAAGCAAAAGCGGGTTTTTTGCATATTCTTGTAGCTCATTTAGGTCTCTTACAAAAATTCAAAAATTACAAAAATTAAGGTAAACAATACATATGTACTTGATAATTTCGGAAATAATAATGTGGCTACATACTGTTCAAGAAACTGTTCTCTTTGTGGCATAATCAGTCATGATCCATTCATAACATCCAATTCAACTAAGTTAAAAATATTTACTAATATAAACACTTCTGCTACATGCAACAGTAAAAATGTAATCTATTGCATAACTTGCTCAGATTGCAATAAACAATATGTAGGATTAACCACTCGTAAATTTAGAAGTAGAATGAAAGAACATATATATCATATTAATAAAAATGATATTAGCAACTATCTTTATAATCACTTCAAACACAAATGTACTAACAGAAAATTTATATTCTCCATTTTAGATAATTGTGAAAGCAATGATGATAAATCAATATTAACAGATAAGGAACTCTTTTGGATAAAGCTTCTAAACACTGCATATCCATTTGGTTTAAATGACAACATTAAAGGATATGGAAACATATCCAATATAGATAATCCTTTACAACATAAGAGTAATCATCCATATTTTGCTTTAAGTATCACCAAAAATAGACATAGAAGCAGTAGACGAAATAAGAATAAAAATAAGGAAACAGTTCATGACTTCATCCGAAAAGTCAATAACATGGACTCATTGTCTTGCTTGTTCACTTATATTAACTCTCTTAAGAAGAATTTTATCTTGCAGTTAATCAGACTAACCTATGATCCAAATTTCTTAGAATGTTTTGTAGATGAAATTAGATTATCAGTACTTAGTATACTTTGTAAATATCAGTTTGGCAGTAAGTCAATAAAACAAACTTACGATAAGGATAGAAATATAAACGTGACAACTTACTATATCCATAACATTTTTGATAAAATCAATTTCAACAAAGTTCTAAATAATCAATACATCAAAAATATCATTAATGATACCAATCAGTATAAAAGAACTAGAATAGTTTTTCGATACAAACCACCAATATCGCAAAAGATATTCAATTATAACAAATTACTAAAAACATTAGATATGAATAAAATACTCAATATAGTTCTTAGTGACTGCAAGTGTTCCGATATCGATTATAAAAATTTTATTGATACTAATCATAAACATGTAATTACTGGTAATTTACAAATAGTAAAAGATCCATCACTCAGATCAATAATGGAGAAAGGATGTAATTATAGAATAAATAACTTTATTAATAAAAAGGATGTTTATGAATGGATCCATGCTACTACAAAAAATATTTTGACTCAATATTATAAACATTACAAAATAAATAATAATAAAAAAGAAATCATTAGAACTTACCTAAAAGAGGCTTTCATCAGGAAATTCAAACCTTTACTATTTGGAGATAACTTAAAAGGAGAACAGACCTACAATATAAATAATAAACATAATCGAAAACTGTTTCACAATTTTGTTATTTGTCCTCTAGACAAAGCAAAAAATAATTACGGTATAATATGCTTTAAATTCTATCTTCTTACTTTATTGAAAGAAATGGGAGTTGATTATAATGGAAGAAGAGAAATCAGTTTTACTGATAATGATACTTATGAATTATACAATAGAGAAACCTGTGATGCAATTATACATAGACATCAAAACTTTTGTGAAGTAAATAAGCTCGAAAATTTGGGAAATGATAAAATTCCAACTATATATTGTCTCCCGAAATTACACAAAACTCCAGTAAAATTCAGATTTATTACAGGTGCTACTCATAGTAGTATTAAACCTCTAGCAATAGAACTTAAACTAATTCTTAGCTTTGTCAAAAAACATTTCATAAATTATGTACAAGCAATCAAAACTCGCAACATGAATTTTATTGGTTACTGGGCTATAGATGATATTAATATTAGTAATAAGTTAATAAACCTGAGACTGACTAATTTGAAACTTTTTTCTGCAGATTTTACAAACATGTTTACCAACTTACCTCATAACGTTATAAAACATAATCTCAAAGAAATACTAGTATTATGCTATAAAAATGCAAACAAACAATTTATAGCTTATAATAACTACAATAGAATATATTACACAAATTCAGATACTAGTAATAACTCACGTACGAGATTCTATCGTATCACAGATGTACTTTACTTAATAGATTACATACTAGATAATAGCTATTGTAAATTTGGTAATCTAATATACAAACAGAAGGTAGGTGTTCCACAAGGTGGTAGCTGCAGTCCACTTCTTGCAGATCTTACACTAGCCTGGTTTGAATACAAATTTTCCAAAACTAACATTACTTATAATCTAAATATTCACCCATTTAGATATATGGATGATATACTTATAATATATAACTCAAATAGTGATATCAAATTGCTTTTAAGTAATGTATATGAACAACATCTAAAATTAGAAACAACTAACATGGATGATAAACATTGCAATTACTTAGATCTCCAAATAGTTATACACAACAATCGCATAACTACTAAAATGTATAACAAAACTGATGATTTCGATTTTCAAGTCAAGAGATTTATCAATGCAGGTTCTTGTATATCTAATAAGATCAAATTAGCAACTATATATACAGAGTATGTAAGAATAGCTAGAACATGCTCAGAATTTGAGGATTTCCTTAACAGAATACGTCGGTTGAAAAGCATACTTGAATATAATGGTTATAACGATTTGACTATTCTTGCTTGCGTTACTAAGCTTATTAATAAAAATAGTTATATCTTCTTTAAATATAATCTGATAAATAGTAATAAAACCATATTAAGTACAGTTAGGAGAGTTTTGCTAGAATCTTTTCACGTACCATAAAAACCATATACATACATGCATACATCTATACACACAAACATGAAAAAACACAAACACAATAACATAAACATATACACATACACCTGCACATACATAGACACCGTACACACATACACATACATATTCACATACACATATACACATATACATACACACATACACATATACATATACATACAAATACACATACATACATATATACACATACACATGCACATACACTTGCATATACACACACATACACATACACATACACATACATACATAAACATACACATGCACATACACATACACATACAAACACAAACACACAAACACACACATATATACATACACATACACATATACTAACACATACACAAACATGTACATATACACACACAAATACACTTACGTATACACATGTTCAAACACATGCACATACCCTTACACATACCTATACACATACATATACGCATACAAATATACTTATCCGTACACATACACATACCCATACACATACACACATACACAACATACACACATACACATACATACACACACATACACACATATACACACATACACACATACACAACATACACACATACACACACATGCACACATACACACATACACATACATACACACACATACACACATATACACACATACACACATACACAACATACACACATACGCACACATGCACACATACACATACAGATACAGATACACATACATATACACATACACAAATACCTACATATACACACATAATCACACTTACACACACACTTATACAGAAACATACAAGACATACATATACACATATGATCACACATTCCACACACTTCCTTTTGGAGGTCAATGTTAGTATTGATCGATGCTCTGCTCCGACTCAAAAATGACGCAACATTTGGCTGCGTAGAAATCACATTTTATGACGCGCCAAAACTTGGCTGAGTATCATTTTATTTGCAGGCAGTTGGTACGAAATGCGAATTCGATCATCTTCGCCCCTTCGCCACCGACATTGGATGTTTGGATTGGACAAGGATAAGGTGAGTTTTTTATGATTTTTTTACTATCCAAAGCCCTCCCTCCTTACTGATGAGTTCCGGGGAGGGCTCACTAACTATTTGGTATCCGTCTAAGGGTAGGAACGAAACGGATGTTCCTTTTTATTAGTTTTTTATTTTGTTCAATATTTTTTCATAGAATATTTGATCCTTGTCTTCTTTTCTTTTTGCTTTTTCTATTAGTCGCCGTGATTTTATCGACGCTATTTTATCGCCGCGATTTCACCGTCGCGATTTTATCGCCGCGATTTTCATTCATCACTTTACATTCATCGATGCTGGAAAATTATCTCAACCGAAATGCAAGCTGATCGGCAGCAATAAATTCAGTCCTCTTGTCGCGGTGAAGTCGCGGCGATGAAATTACGTGAAAACTTTGCCTTAGGTTTTATAGGAACGTTTGCAATTGTTTAGAAGCAAAAGCGGGTTTTTTGCATATTCTTGTAGCTCATTTAGGTCTCTTACAAAAATTCCAGTTTCTTCTCGTTGCGCAACCGCATTCATATAACTTAGAATATGTTTTGAGCTAGAACAATCGATGTTCGAACGCTGTTTCATGCTAAGTTTTTCCAAACGTCGGCACTTTCTCCATTCTTAGACTTTTTTCTGAACTCAAGTTTTACCATAATGTTGGCTGCTTTTTCATCCTACAAATCTTTTTCAGAAAGGGTTCACTTCTTTTCTCTCAAACATTCTCCCTTTAGAAATTATTTGAATTTGCTTTTTCGAAATTCTGTCATAGGTCCTGTCTTTGCATGCGATAAGTCACCTGCATATTCTAGTCAAATTGACTACAATTCATTCCTCTTCTTGGTTTTCCTCTTCTGATCTTGCAGCCAGAAAAAAATTGTTCGTTTTTCAACTTGATTGTTTTTTGTGCGCTGTTCATGTTGCAGTTAATGTACTGTATGATAGCTTTCGGAAATGTTAATCTCTAATTACTTCAAAGTTCTCAAGAATTCTGTTCTCCTCACCCTAAACGTGTTTAGGAATGCCAGAGTCTATCATATCGTATACCAGTATGGATTCGTTCGAATTTTCGGTACACTATTCAGACAGCCCATTAACATCAGAAGACAAACAAGTAAGGACATTCATCTGTTTTTTTGCAGATATAAAACCTCCTCTGCTTTTAGGTGCTGAAGGTTGCTGAAGAAGCTAAAAAAAGTGATGACAAGAGGGCGTTTCTGCTGAATTGGCTAAAAGAGAATGAAAGTGAGTTTGAATAAGGGATTAATCAATGTTTTTGCTGCAAACTTTATTTAGAGATTTGGCTGAATTCAAATGAAAGAAAGGCGCATATACGGCGGAAGGAGAGAATAAGGAAAGAGAGAGAAGAAAATGAGAAACAAGAAAAGAAGAAAAGCGGTGAAGCGAATTAGATTGCGTAAAGATGTTCTCTCCGCACTTTTGTTGAATATACATACGCGAGAGTGTTCTTTCGGTAGTAACAACTGTTTGTAATAAAATGTTCGTTTCTCATCTTTTTGTCGATGAGCGGTGTCTATCTGCAAGTGTACTTATTTTGTCTTTGTTTTCTTTCGCTGTTTTTGACCCAATTATTCAAATTGCAGATTGCGTGAGATGGTGAGCAATAAAGTCAATCACCGGAATCTCAGTGGAATTATAATGATAATGAAAGAGAACTCAGCCGCGGCGATGTGAACTATTGCCAGCTATTGTCGACTCGAATTTGTAGCAAGTTTCTTTTTCGGTGAGAAAAAGAAAATTATATTATTATTACTATTGTATAATCAAGACCTTATAATAACGGGCTAAGGGTTGTTTACGTGTTTTTGTGTGTGTGTGTGTCCGTCTGTTACGAAATTCGTAGAACGTGTTCCAGCCAGCGTTCTAGACCCAAATTTTGCATAGCGCATGTTACCTTCATGAAAGTCCAACATGCAAAAGCACGAGTACTTTCGTTGAGTGGAACCCTCAGAAATTGCGCGCCAAATGGGTTCACTTGGCTTCTGTCCCGGAAAATTGGGTCCGCATCACCACTTTTTGCAAAGTCCTGGATGTGCTTGGTAAGCAAATGTGCAAGCGATGGACTTTAGCCCCAAAAGTGGTCAATAGTTTACCACATAAAAAACAGCGCCAAAAAAAATTGGTTGCGTAAATGATCAATTTGCTAAGGTCTTAGCCAAGCATCTGAGGAGATTTTCGCACAGAGATGTAGCTCACGGTGACTATTGCCTTTGTGGCAACTACCAAGCCATGACAAATTCAAAAATCTATTCAAATTTGCGTTTGTCTTCTTGCAAAAAGTTTCATCCACGCCAAATCACCGATCTCACGTGAAAAAGCTTTCTAAATGAGTAGTTGTTTACATTTCATTCGTGGTAGTCGGCATAGCGCGGTGAGTTTCAATGTCATTATTGTGGGAATGAGTTAAGGCACTTAGATAGTAGAGCCAGTGCGAGCTTCTGCGAAGCAGAGGTGACGCACTGGTATATTATATTATTATTATATTAAAATTATTATTGTACTCTGGCAATAAAGTGGCCAAACTTGTGTAAAACCACGTAAATGCGAACCACTGAGCCATCTAAATCAAGATTACACAAGGTAGTCACTGGGCCGCTAGTTAGAAAATAAACTTTCCTCGATTTGGTAATCTGTAAAATTTCATGATAGGGTCAATTGTTATCGAAGCTTCGATATCATATCAGGTGATTCACGCATCTACATCCAATAGTGGGTGAGTTGCAGAAGCATTGAGTGATAGTTGATACAGGCTGTAAAGCCTTCCGTCTCTCTCTTCTTTCTTTCTTTCTCTCTCTCTCTTTGATAAAAAAATTATGGATAAACCAGAACTTTAAAGGCCCATGCAACTATCTTACAGGTGTACAAGCTGCATCATATTTGCGAAGATGAACATGCCAAAAAAGTCCGGGGGGGGGGGGGGTGGGGGGAGGGGGGTTCTACCGTGGGGTTCTTTGACGGTGAAGATTGTACGAGTAAGCATAGTTGTGATAGGAGTCGGTCATACCTCGCGCGATTGCGAAAAATTGCTATCGTTGGCGACTTGAAAATGTTAGTAATTGACAGCGCACACATATCGAATGCACAGGCGCACGATTTTCATGAATTAATGCAAGCTTTCTGAATGTTGTTGCAGAAAGTGTGCTTACAAAGAATTATGAGCCATCACAGCAATGCCGAATCGTACGGTGGCTGAAATCGCGACGGGTGTGACCGATAGTATAGATGGCAAAGCTCTAACCCCTAATGGGCCGGCGCCTAGATGCTTCTTTTTGACTCAGGACGAGAACAGAGTTAAGGTAGAACGGAAAATCAAACGTATATACTAAACGGTGTATTTTGTGCTTGAAAGAAACGCCTGTCGCTTTTTCCCAGCTAGTGCATGACCGCACTTCAGGAAGTATCATAGCAAGAGCGTTTGCTGAGAAAAACGCATGCTTGAAACCTCTTGTGTCACTCACAACTGGCATTTTGACAAGGAGATATATTCAAAAAATTGAATGAATGTCATTCTTTGACTAAGCTACATCGTATCAACGAATACACATTGTCGCAACGAAGAATCAGGTAGAAAGAGGAAGTCTGGTCTGGTCAAGCATGAGTGTTCGTATGCACGTTCACCGGCAAGAATCAAATCATATCTTCCTGCGTAAAAAAACGTAATCTGCGTTCTACTAATACATATGCCGACTGGGCCAGCATGCGTCTTAAGCAAGTAAGGTGCGGCGTGTACAAAAATGGAGGGAGTCAAAATCTGCCTCGACTTATTGCACGGGGTCCCAAGTTCGCGAAACTTGACCACAGCCTTCACAATCTTTTAAGGTCTACAAAAACGTGGGGCTTGAAATGATCTGCGAGAAACCTGTGGCCGTCATCATTGATACTTTGAGGTGAATTCTACCAGGTAATTTTATCACTTATTATCAGCAAATACCCGTATTCACAAAAGTACCTTGAGGTAAATTCTCAAGGTAAATTTTACCTTGAGAATTTACCTCAAGGTGTTTAGTATTGAATGGTTTTATCACTTAAAATCCGTATTCATCAAACGGACTGCATTTATCTTGAGGTAAATTCTCAAAGACTTCTAACCCTAGCTGGAGGCAAGGCTAGAAGGATCCCTTTAGAGATCTATAGACTTTCGGAAGCTGGTTTTTTGCATGAGTAATGCAGTAACGTAAATTAGGTCACTGTGGCAATTTTGCGAAATTTTGTTAAGATTAGTGAGAGTTATGGGGGTTGAGCGAACTTAAAACAAAATTTCAGTCTATATTCTTAGAAACTTTATACCTTTCAACGAACGCGTGGATGGATGTAGTCATACGCAAGAGTCATTCTTTTTCACAGCATCTTGAGCACACTAGCTGTGTTTAATCATAAAGTGGAAGTTGCTTGATGAAAGTACTCTGAAACCATCTTCAGAATTATTAGACATTACCAAATGGTGACGTGTGCTGCAACGTAACCGTCGATCCCATTTCCTGACTGATCATATCGAATTTCAAATGATGATTTCACCAAAATGTTTGTATCTTTAGTACACACTTTTCCGCACTTTAGCAGAAAGAAAGAGCTAGCTGTCGAATGCAAAAAATAGACAAATATTTCTGGTTGAGCAGAAAAATTTTATCTCTCTTCATTTACTCACAACGCACACATGTGGGTTCAAACATTTATAGCTTTGAGCAAAAAATATTCCCTAAACACCGAAAGTGACCCATTAGGGAACCGTCGATACATACTTTCAATGATGATGATTTTGAAGCTTTGGAAGTCAAAACTTCACTACTTTGGAATAATCGGGCCTGTGTGAACTAAGAACTCAGAACGAGGCAAAAAAAAATTGGCGGAATTTTGCGCGCCATAAAAATTTGCAAAGTACTTGAAAAAACATTATCGATAAAAACCTCATCAAATAAAGCAGGATTTAACTCAAACCTAAAGTGACTATGAAATAAACTACTTTGACAACTTGGAAGCTTTTGTTAAGACTACTCTCTTGACAACTGTGCAAGAAGAACTTTTCCGGGAAGGTAGGTTCCATTTGTTCTAGAAACAATATCACGAATTTAAAATCCGATCTAACTAAAAGCAAACAACTTCTTATTGTTAGATAAGCCCCCTCTGGGCTCGAAACAGTTGCTTATATAGACTGTGCAGTCTCAAAATCATTCACTGTAAAATTCTGAAACCAATGTTCCAACACGTTCCCCGTGAAAACATCACGGAAATACAAGAGAAAGCAATTTACTGCAAGTGTGTCATGCCATGCTCCTCATGTCAGTACTAATCATCGCACAGGTAAATCTAACCTTGAGAAAGAGAGAGACTTTGACGGATACGAAAATTATACCTTAAGGTAAATTGCACCTTGAGGTACAGCTCAAGGTAAATTGTATGCAGTAGGGTCCATTCTAATATCATCATTTTAGCTGGAAGCAGGGGAGGATATGTTGAATAAAATCAGTTCTTCTTCTAAAGGACGGCTAAATTTGTCGAAAAGAACTCCGAATTGTCCAAAAGCGCCGAAAAGCATTGAAAGTGGGCAAAAGCGCCACGCGCCAACCATAAGCTCCTGAAAAATCACTGAGGTCTGCAAGCTTAAAGTTATTGGCACGGTCAAGTTCTCTTTTTATTTTTTTCGAAACAATTATCATTTGAGACTTTAAAAGGGGAAGTAACAGGTTAAAATGCAAAACCAAAAACCAGAAAATGCAGTCTCATAACCGAAATGTGCCACTCAAAGTTATTGGTATCACATTTCAGCTTTTTCGAGCTTTCGCATTCGAAAAGTTTTTCCTTCCCAGTGGCAGGACCATTCCAAGAATTTTTGATTCTACAATTCTTCAATGAAGAGAAACCGGTGTTTTGTGCACGATGCGAATACCAATTTTTTTTGAAGTAATGTCATCTTTACGACAAACCCACTTGCAAACTTTGGTTTGAATGCAAAGCATTCAACAAAGTTACACTGTTGCAAAGTTAGGCTGAAAGTCTTTGCGACAGCCTGTACATATTTCTTCGAGGCCACTGCAACTTGCTATCCTCCGCTTATAAGTTTCGAAAATGAGGTGCGAACTCATGTTTTGTCAAAATATAGTTCGAAAAATGGCCACAAATTCCCTTTGATCTTTTAAGACCTGAGACATTCGCATTTTATCGTGTTTAAACATGTAAGGGTACTTCGAACCGTCTTCCTGTCAAAACATGTCATCTCGGGCCCGAAAGCGCAATTACCAATAAATTTTGTCCTAGCAAAAGTTCTGTTGGCAATAAAAAACTTTATGAACCGCTAAGACGTCATAGCGTGCTCTAAATATACGTCAGTGTATATCAAGCTGGCCAAGGTAGAATTTACCTCAAGGTACATTGATGAATACGAATCGCTCAAGGTAGAATTTACCTTGAGGTAAAATTTACCTCAAGGTAAAATTTACCTTAAGTTTGAATACGGCCTCTGCAGAGCAAATTGCAAA